GCATTCTTCCCCAGGAATTCGGTGACGCTGGCTGGTAGTGGCCGGACTCGAAGGCGAACTGAGACGTGCTTGCTAGCTGTCTCACCAACAACAGTACCTCGTGGTAGGTTGGGGTCCTTTGGCGGGTTCATCTCTGTTGCAGCCACGATCGACTCTCGGTATGGTACGATGGGCTCACCAGCCTGGATCTCGCACTTGGCGAATCGCTCTTTGAGGTCCTTCAAGCATCGCTCAAGATGCAATTCACCGGCTGTCAAAATGACATGCTCTCCACTTGGCAGCTGCTCGTACTCTGCGCATGGGTCACTCTGAACGAGGAGCTTCAGACCCTTGATCATCTTGTCTAGATCGTAGGGGTTCTCGGGTTCGAGCGCAACACGCACAATAGGCTCTGAACCCATCTGAACACCAGCAAGATTGAGCGATCCGGGAAGCTGAGAACATAGCGTGCCCGACTTCAAGATGTGACCCTCGAGCCCACCGATACCGAAAACGACACCAGCGGGGACAGTTGTGAGAGGCTCTAAGCCTCGCCCCATCATCAGATATAGCGCAGTGATCTTGACTTTCTGCGGCTCCGGAGCGGCGTGTGGGTTGGCTGGGGTAAACTTCGGGCCGAGGACGAAGACTTCATCGCCGACACTCAGAGTGCCGGAGAAGATACGTGCGAATCCGATGAGATGCTCGGCCTCTACGTCCGGCTCTGGTGTCTCTTCGACAGGCGTCTCAGTCTCGCCGATGGCGGCAGAGCTCAGAGCGTCGGTGACACTACCGACATCGGCATCCTCGCCGTTGGCGATAGCCTGCTGCCGGGCGATCTCTGCTCTCTTCTTTCGCCCCATCTCCCTGGCTTCTTCAGCCGTAAGCGCACCACCCCTTCGTTTGTTCTGTGGTAGTTCGCTGGAGGGTATGGAGATTATCTTGCTGACGTAGGCTACGACGGGATCGTTCTTGGAGGCCTTGAAACTGGTCATGGCGTCGCGCACCTCTGGAGCAACGTAGTCGGCACCCGGAGAACTGTCGATGAGTTCAGGCATGCGCTCGGATTGCGCTTTCGAGGGCGGAGGCAGGTATTCGGTGACTGAGACTAGTAAGGCGGTCGATAGCGGAAGCCAAGCTGCGAAGAGTGCCATTAGGAGCGCGCGTGGGTCGCGCGAGCGCATGATATGTGCTGGAAGGTTAAGGTTGAGCGATTTGGTAATCTTCTCAACCAAGGCAGGATCTCTGTAATGGAAGGTATAAGTATATTGCTATGATACATGCAGACAAATCACGCAAGGGAAGGAAATCCACGCACCCCTTCCCGTTGTTACCTCCTGTAGTGGCCTCGTATACGGCCCAGATGTTGTCTAGAACGAGCTGAACGAACATGGGCTTGAGGTGGCGGCCCTTGAGATGCTTGGAGCTGAGTACGCGCTTCGTCTTGGGGTCTAGGTAGAAGTCGCCCCAGAGTACCTTTTCAAGAATGGAGCGCTTGATGCCTAATTTCTTCTCGTACAGGCTGGCAAACTGTCTTACCGTGAATGCCCAGCCGTCGATGGCACTGCCGAAGATCACATTGTTCTTCTCTGGGGCGAAATATATGTCCTCGTCATCCTTTTCCTCGTACTCGGCGGGCGTGTTGGTGGTGTCTATGCTGTCGCCATTTTCTAGTATGGATGAGGAGCGTGTGTCAGTCTTCTCAGCTGCAGCGTTTAGTCTTTCTTCCATCTTCTCGCGCCATCGGAGGTCATCTTCCATGCGCTCGCCTTGGTAGAAGCTGCCCATGACGGCGTTTACCTGTTCGAGCAGTTTGCTCAAATGTGTATATGCCTCTCCAGGGCTCATCTTCAGTTCTGTGATTAGCCTGTCCATCTTGTTGATGACGAGCAAGGGCTTCAGCTTCTCTATCCACGTCTGTCGCAGGACTGTGACAGTCTGACTACACACGCCTTCGACGGCGTCTACGAGCACGACAGCGCCATCGCAGAGACGTGATGCTGTAGAGACCTCGTAACTGAAGTCTATGTGTCCGGGCGAGTCTATGAGGTTTATCAAGAATTCCTTTTGCTCTGGCTGTGCTTCGGGCGCAGACCGTCGCAGCAGGGAAAAGTATAGCGAGATGGCGGACGACTCCATGGTGATGCCGCGCAGCTGCTCGTCGGGTCTCGAGTCGAGGTAGCGAATCTTGCCGGCGAGCTTGGGGGAGATGATGCCGTTGGTGGCGATGAGGGCGTCGGTGAGGGACGTTTTGCCATGGTCCTGCTGCATTCAGCGCATGTCGCAGTCACACGGACAGTCAACGTACCACGTGAGCGAGGATGCAAATGTTCCTGATGCCATCAGCCGCCTGCTGCAGCGACACCAGCTTATCGCTCGGAACGACGGGCATCCTGGGCGAGCGTGGTCGAGACTCGGGGCTAAAACTGCTGAGGCGGGTGTCGTGTTTCGCGTGTCGATGTGACCCAGTCGGGCGCGGGCAAGGCCGTTTCGCTGCAGATCAGAGGCGCGCAGGCCGAAAAGGGCAAATTGGAGGAGTGGAGGGGATGCAGCAGTGGTTGAGGTTACAGATTCGTTGTGTGGTTTGGGATGGGCGTTGAAGATTTGGATGAAACAGAGGCGCTACCACCCCGCCGCGTCACTATGGCTCATGGGCAAGCTGCACCCTGACATCAGACCCTGCTGACGGCGACAGACGCCCAACGGCCACCCTGCGGTCGCGTCGCATCGCGTGCGTGTTAGTCGTGGGATCATCGTCGCCGGTCTTTTGTTTGACCTCACCACTGCGACTCGGGCCTTGGTGCTGGCCACGTCCTTATAGCCTGTGCGCCTGCCGTTGCTGGTGTGGTTCGTGCCTGCCCCATGCCCATGCATCGCCCCTGTCGCCCTTGCCGATCTTGAATAACAGTTTGGATATAACGACCGCGCTCGAGCACCGCAACGCCCCTATAGCCTCCCGCCTGCCTGCCTTCACCCATACGTACCACTATCGACCCCGCCTGCCTGTCCGTGAATGTGACTCCCACCGCCGACATGGCAGCGACACTGGACGGCCAGCACACGCCCGCCAAACCCGTGGCCATCCGCTCTACTGGCATGAAGCTGGACCCGCCCCATATACAGAACCTCAAGATTGCGAATGCGAGCGTCGACATCATGTCGCCCGTCAACCAGAACGGCTGCTTCGAGTTCGACCGCATCATCAAGGCCGGCACCGTCGTGAAGCGCACGCGCAAGACAAAGGCACGCATGCACGCACGCTGCCGACAGGCACGCCATGACGTCTACTAACACGTGCACAGCAATGGAAGCCCGTCTACCTCGTCCTGCGCCCCAACTGCCTCTCCATCTACAAGGACAAGGATGAGACGAAGCTGCGCCACCAGATCAACCTCTCCGAGATCACGGCCGTCGCGCGCCAGCGGGACTCGAAGAAGAAGATGGAGCATGTCTTTGGCATCTTCTCGCCCGCCCGCAACTACCACCTCGGCGCAACCACCGACAAGGACGCCCAGGAGTGGGTGCACCTCATACGCACCGAGGCGCGCATCGGCGAGCATGAGGCCGAGATGACTGTCATGAGCCCGACCACCGGGAGGAAGACATTTTCAGGCTTCGGTCGCGCGGCCAGAGAAAACATCGTCTCCAGCTCCTCCGAGACAGAGCCGAGGCCCTCGAGCTCAATCGCCCCGGAGCACATGCACAGCGCCCGGCGTCCCTCGCAAGCCCTCAACTACTCCGGCGGCGAGCGCGGCTCCATCTCCGATTTCGACTTCTCCGACACCAACCAAGCCTCCGCCCAGTCTCTCCCGCGAACGCCGCAAACACAGCGCAATGCGAGCCAGCAGAGCAACATCGGCGCCACCCCCACCAACGAGCGCGTAGTCTACCATGGCTGGCTATATGTCCTCAAGTCCAAAGGCGGCGTGCGCCAGTGGAAGAAGATCTGGGTGGTTCTGCGGCCAAGGTGCCTTGCCTTTTACAAAAACGACGACGAATACTCTGCGACCCACATCATTCCCTTTTCCAGTATCATCGATGCCGTCGACATAGACCCAGTCTCGCGAAGCAAGCAGTACTGCATGCAGGTTATATCCGAGGAGAAGAACTACAAGTTCTGCGCTTCCGATGAAGACTCGCTGGCAAAATGGCTCGGCGCATTCAAGAGCTTGCTGGTTAAGAAGAAGGAGTTACCACAGACACGCATACAGCAGGCGACCCCCACCGCCATCAACACGCAGCAGCAACCCCAATCGTTCTTACCGTCACCCATCGCGCCAGCTCAGCAGCCTCTCACAATCAGATGACCACCGCTCAATATGCCCGACACCCACTCTGACAACAATTGTACATACGCTGGCACACGTATACCCTCACCAACCGACCTTCCACCGCCACCACTAATTGCGCAAACATTCTCTAACCCTATCTTCTTACGATACCATCACGATTTACGACCTAGCCTTACCGCCGCCCATTGACGGGGCCCTTTGATACCAGTTGGATACTTTTGCTCGACGATATTGGATATTGCAGCATGTTCCTTCGCAGATTGTTTCCTTTGTCCAGACTTGTCTCATCTTGTCGTCAACAGTAGTAGCCTTTGTAATATGCTTGTCGCCCTTGATCTGGGCTTGAATTCAAATCTCATAGCTATGTTTCATGACTTCGCGATTTTCCGTGCGATATGACGACTGCTACAACTTGTGGCTCTTGAATTTACGATCAGACTGATGGAGAACACATGTTCGAGGCATGGCGGGACGGCGCGCTTGCCCCTTTTGCGGCCAATCATGATGGCACGATAGCTGACCAAATCAGACGCTAGGCTGGAGTCGAGCTGCACCCCGGAGGCTGAGGTCGTCCAGACGCCTGCAACTGCATGCACATACTAGCGCTTAACCCTCACTCTTCCTTCAGTGCAGCTTTTGGCCCCCACACATCATGTCTGCCTTGTTTCCGTCCCGTCCCCTCTCCCATGCCGTCGCAACTCTGCTCGCCAGCTCTCAGTTCACCCATCTATGGAGGGCCAAACGCAAGATTCGGAAGCCACGCCGCATCTCCCACGTCACCCACGTCAGTATCAGGCTGAGGTACGCGAAGCTTCCATTGATGAGCTTGCGCACGATGATTTGTACGGGGGCGGAAACCAGCCCCGACACGCAACCTTGAGTCCTGAAGGTGAAGAGGCCAAGGACGCGAAAAACTCGCAATGGATAGCCGACTACATCACCGAGGAGCCCATCGATTTTGCTCAAGAGCTTGAATCGACCAGCGCGGGGCATCAGCAACCCACTACCATGCGCAACGATAGTCGTTCATGGAGGCATTCCCGGCGGCCGTCACGACCCCAGCCAAAAAACACTTCACGTGTAGAGCCTGGGACGAATAGTTCTAGAAATGAACTGGCGCTCAGATTTGAGCTCCCGCGCCCGGTCTCAACCCCTGAAGAATCAGAAAGCAGTATCATCACCGAAGACTTTAGTGAGAGCGAGAGATCGAGCAGCGAAGAGGATACGCCTCCGAGAGATCCCCCACTTTTGCAGCCCAACCGCTATGCGATACATCCAGTGGACATCGAGGGCAACAGGCTCTCATTTCAGGTGCAGACCAAGCCTTCGAGCAGCAGCATCGCTCCGAGTGAAGAATCTGACAAACCCGAAAACAAGGAGGGGCTGGGAGCAGAGAAGAAGGAACCGGGAGACAAGAATCTGGAGATACGGAGAATCATCAGAGCAATGGCGATCGAGTCTGACGCCCAGGACATGCTTGAAATCCACACCCTACCAAGTCTGGCGAGCCCTCGATTACGAACAAGCATAACAACAACATGGTATCACCTCAATGGTAGTCATCTCGACTTTGACCGCTTCGAAAACGTCTGCCTCACTATCCCACATTTGTCTGACCGCCTACAGGCCCTTACCCGCGAGGTCTTGTTGAAACTGCGAGGCGAAAGGATTAAGCCGTTTGTAGGCGGTAGATTCATCGAGCCAGGGACCGTTCTTCGAGCCGACGAATCCGATCCAACAGACACCCAGTCCGTGATCTTCAGTTGCGTGCCTTACTTCAGCACTCAACAAGTCGCAAAGCCACCACATGGGCACGGAGATCTACTGTGCCCGTCACGCACCTTAATGCAGGCTTTGTATCCCTACGAATCGGTTCATGAAAGAGATGAGGAACAGTCGTACAAACGATTTGGCAATGATCATGCCAATAACATCGTTCACGTCCCGAATCTTTGGATTATGAACATCGGCTCTACTGCTGTTGTAACTTACGGATGCGAACCTCTACCTGTGGCTGTTAAAGATTCAATCAGCATTATTGAAGAAGACCTCAGGTCCTTGGGCAAGCAAGACACTACCGAGAATACGCTGACAAAGGTCCACATTACTGATCGCAACGGTAGCAGCTTGATATATCCCATCAGTGCTTTCAGATCATATTTCCAGCTGGAATCTCAGATTGTTCACGTCAATCCGCTTCTCGAGGAGGATATCTTTGGTAAAGGAATCAAGCTGAAAGTCCATAATCTGGATGAATGTATGATTGCTCGCCCCTGGAACTGGAAAAATATCATCTCTCGAGCAGCTCAGCTCGTCTCAATCAGAGTTACGATTCTGGACAACCAGGAAGATGATCAGCGAGAAGTTGAAGCTTCTAGCTGTTTGTTATCAGTGCCGCCATTCTTTCACTGGTTGCATTCCAAAACCAACGACCTAGGATATCGAAGTGGGAAGCTCGTAGTTCCTGGTATCTCGGGGAAAGATCGGTCGATCATCTGCCTGCAGTACGTGGAGAAGATAATGATGTCGAGGTGTCTCGCTCGTTCAAGCAACATAGTGGAGGATCATTTCACCTCAATAGCCTACTACCACTCTTTGCCTGAGACGGTATATGAAGGTGTTTCCATGCGACTCTCCCAATTGAAGGACCTAATCGACACGACTACTCCACAAAATCCATGCAGCATAAATCACAAAGTGATTGTTAGCTCTCATTGCCGTGGGGTTCTAGTACGATCAGTGGATTTTCTCGAAACTGTCCAAGAGACTCTGAAACTATTTGTCGATGACCTGGACAGCAGCAGTATACTCCGGAAGCTATCGAGCGCACTGCAAAACATCCATCAGCAAGTAATGGCCATCGAGCGACGTGGAGCGGTTGAGCCTGATCCAGAAGAATACACCAACTCTAAGTGGAAACACCCCGACATGATGAAGCGTGCTTGGTCCATTCGCACGTCCGCTTGGGAAGTTCCATCTACACTTCCTGAATCCATAAAGCCACTGCATAGATCAGTTCTACGTTGTAAAAGATGCAAGTCCGCGTTCCAAAGCGCAACATCTGCAATGACACATCTCGTGCGACACGTAAAGAAACATTCGAGTGGAAACGCGCACCCCGAAATTGACATACCTTCTTTTGAAGAGCTGCAAGACTGGATCATCAACTCCGTGCAATACCGGCGCGAACTCATCAACGCTAGTGCTCTAGTGATACTCACTCATGCCTCAGAGATTGCCAAAGGTCTCTTTGCTCAAGCCAGGGAGCTCGCTGAGGGTGTACAGAATGAGGATGGACAGAAGTATTTGTTGTATACGCTACCACAAGAACTGATCAACGCATTCCGCAGGATCGTGATCTTCTACTTGGCTATTGAGAGAGCTCTGTACGAGAACGAGCAGGCGTATAGACAGGACGTTCGAGATCAATCATCTCACAGGCTCATGAACGCTCCCTACCCATGGAGAGATGTCGAAGTGCTAAAACGCTTTGGTGGGTACGCACGAAGATCGCTGTGCAAGGCTAGAATCTTATTGTGCGACATGGTCAGGCCCAGGGTACCACCGAGCCTTCGCAAGCATCTTTCCTTAGGACCTGAATATGTGTGCTTGTGGTTCATCAGAAGACTGCTTATGAAACCTCTCGAGCAATCCAAAACCATCGGCGACATGTATCATGCATATGTTTCCAAAGTTGTAAGTACATTTAGTCTACGCACTACATCACCAAAAAGGAGGGTCTGCTTGCTCTTCAACTGTCGCGACAATATCAAGAGATACTTTGTTCATATTTGCTGACCTCAAGTAGCAATTTGAAATCAATCACAGGCCAAGCAAGCGCCTCCTCCGAGCAATCAACTTTATCCAAGAAGAGCTGCAAGTCTTGCAATTAGTCAACACTTGGCAAACCAATTTGGTACGAAACTACTTGCGAGTCCTCGACGATGCCACATACGAGAAGGCGATGCCATCTCGTCGGGCGATGTATCCCTATGAGAACTCTCTAGGAGCTGCCTGTCTAGATCAACTGTCTCTAGTCCGTCAAGATTACTCCGACCTGTTTCGACGTTGCACCCCGCTATCTGATCGCACGAAACAAATCTTGGAGATCAACGAAGAAGATCATGGGAAAGCCATTATGGTCTTTACTGTTGTTACAGTCATCTTCTTGCCACTCTCATTTGTGACAAGCTACTTTGGTATGAACGCCTCCGACATTAGAGACATGAAGGAAACACAGGCTGTCTTCTGGGGCGTCGCTTTACCGCTGACATGCGTGACGCTGGGCTCTTGCTTATTGATCGGATACAATGGCGATCGCATACGAGACCTATTGTCATCCACGTATCGAAAAGTGACAAGAAAAGAGGACGACACCGTCGAAGCCGCTAGTATACTATTTTCGCAACGGCAAGGGCCCTTAAGATCTGAGAGGGGACTAGACTCTGTCTTCGACTCGTTTAGGCGCGCTAACGACGAACTTCCCAGCTTGAGACGTGGCTTATACCGAGCTGGGCATGATCTTGGAATGGAACCCGATGATAATGAATATGATGGGTGGTTTGAGAAAGAGAATCCCAAACTACTGGATCAGTACAACACCTTGAGCTATCTACACAACCCGTCCACGTATCCTTCTGGTGTCGCACCAAAAAGACAGAACTCCTACGCCAATCCAATGTCCGTAGTAATACAGCCACGCCGGCAATCGCAATATCCATATTCATATCCATCCGACGGAAGGCCTTTCCTGAACGGCTACGACAGAGTGCCATACGAAGCTTATGAAGACGTTTCACGCGATTATCACCCTACCCCTCCTCCACGTCCTCCTCGGAAGGAAAAAGTACCGCCACATGAGGACTATCACAGAGCGCCATGTCAGACTTATAGAGACGTGTTACGCAATCATCGCTCTCCCCCTTCTCCGTCCCCTCCCCAAAAGGAAAGAACAAAAAGCGGCTATACCAATCGCAGCAGCTCAATCGACCCAATCAACTTCACCGATCTTTTCGATCCTTATTCGGATGGAGACAGCCCAAAACGACTACCAGAAATGTCTTATCATAGGCCACCGCCTCGAAGAGTCTCTACAAGTGGTGGAGCAACCCGTTCACCCCGGAGGTACTTCGACCGCGATGGGATTGAACTTTTCATACGTGACCGTGATACAGAGAAAGAATATGCATTCGAAGGACGACATGACAGATCACGCACCCGAAGTCGCAGTCACGAGCGAGATCATACTCGCCATGTGCACTATGAGAGAAAGCGCGCTGGACGTGCTGGATATGATGGTACTGATGAGCACGGTGTTCCACACGCCGCAGGCAGCGCATCACGCTTTACATGGGGGAGAAGAAGGCAGGAGGATGATAGTCCTGATGAGGACATTGATCCATATGACGCAGACAAAGTATCACGTCGCAGACGAAGGACAACAAACCAGGAATACGAGAGCCGAGAAGAGGATTTTGCGAGGCAGTACAGGTAGGCTAGCGTTCAACTTGGGATTTGCGAAACTGCAAAATTCGCTCTAAATAGGCTGTTGACATTCGCCTTTACATTGATGGATCACACATTGCTTGATGAAGGCTGCATATGACAGTGGCGTGACGACACCAGGGATAGGATATGTACCGGTTGCTCTCAAAGGGAGACGAAGTAATCTTAAACACCATTGAATTAACTATTACTACGGGAACACGGCAATAGCGACAAACTAGGAATTTTCGTTGACCAAAAGCTTTTGACAGCTTCGGGTCCGCCCCGGCAACCATCTCCCAATTACGGGCGCAATCGTCCTACACTGCTCATAAACCGCCGAAAGCAAGAAAGAAGAACCAAGAAAACATGCTATTTGCTACTCATGTGCGCGTGCGCCGTGGCGCAATCGTGGTATCATCCATGATCAAAAGGTAGGAAAGTCGTAATCATGACTCGCAGCCCCAAGCGTATCGGGTATCACTGGTCGACCAACAAGCATCTAAACGCGACCCTGGAAGACGGGGTTCTGGTCACCGAAGGTAGTGTTATACTCGCCGGGAGCCGGGGCACCAGTGGGGTGAACGGGATGAGTTGCTGAAGTAGTTGTGGCAGTGGGGTCGTTCAGACCAGTTGAACCAAGGCCAGTGGAGCCGAGGCCAGACGATCCAACAGGTGCGGCGGTGCCGGTGGTGTTGAAAGCATCGTCAACCTGAGTGCCGAAGCCTTGGGTGCCAGTGGTGGAAGGAACGCCGCCGGCGAGACCAGTAGCAGCAGCACCACCCATCAGACCCTGACCAGTGGTAACGCCTTGACCACCGCCGAGGCCACCAGCGTTAGTGTATTGGCTGTCGTACTGGTTGGCGGATGGGTTGATGCCCTGCGAGGCTCCAAGACCGCGAGACTCCTCACTGGTGCTACCGTAGCCGCCTGCGCGACCGTGGGGCTTGCGAGTGACCTTGCCAACCTGAGGCAGGCTGGAAGTCTCCTTGGCGGAGCCGATAGAGAAGATGGGGCTCTCCCACTTCTCGCCCTTGCCGGCAAGCTCCTTGTACTCAGTAGCCTTGGAAGAGATACCGCCGGGTAGGGAAATGTTCTTGAAGATGGAGTCGTGCTGAGTAACAGCCATGTTGACCTGGGTGTCCTTGGTCTTCTCCTTGACCTGCTCCTTCTTCTGCTTGCCTTGCATGATGCGGTGCTGCATAGCAGAGGCGTAGCGCTGGTACATGTTCTGAATGTTCTGAGGGTCGGGGTTGCGCTTGGCCTCAGCCTCGGCGCGGTCAGCCTCAGTCTTGATGTCGAAGAGAAGGCCGTCAAGCTGGTTGGCGGAGTCCTTGATCTGCTTCTCCAAGACCTTCTGGATGACAGGACGCATGACCTTGAGAAGAAGGGGCTTGAACATGTTGAAGAGGAGCTTGTGGTTGCTCTTCTTCATCTTGATCTGAAGGTTCTTAATGTCAGACTCAACCTTGGTGACCTTGAAGAAGTGGGTCTGCGCGTTGTTCTCGCGGGCCTTGTCAGCTGTCTCCATCTCAACCTTGAAGCTGAAGCCGGAGCCACCCATGAAGATGTCCATAACACCCTTGTCGGTGATGGATGGGAAGCCTTGCTTGCGCTTGATGTAGTAGGAAACATCCCTGAGATCCATCTGTACACCCGAGACAGAGAGCATGACCTTGTTCTTGTTCTTGCTCGAGATGGACTTGCGTCCCCAGCGCCAGTAGTTGTCCGAGCCAAACTCCAAAGAGTTGGGAGCAAGGTTATCACCCTCGATGACGAGGTTCTCAACGACGGCGTCGACCATGGGGTCGCTGTATTCGATACGCGGGATAGGGACGTAACGGACGTTCTCGAAGATGGACGGGAGGATGACGTCGCTCAGGTCCTTGAGAAGGTGGGGCTTGAACACAGTCTGACCGTTCTCATCCTGACCGAGGTCAAGGAAGAGCTTGTTGACAGACTCAGCGAACTGCTTGTTCTGCGGGTCAGCGTCGAACTGCTCGCCAACGAATTTGAACTCGTCGGCGATGCGGTCAGTGTGTCCACGGTAGCGGCCGCGAAGGAGGCGGTGACCATCATCGTAGATCTGGTTCCACTCCTCGTTGCTACGGTCTTCGAGGATGAAGCCCTGCTGTTGGAGAGTCTTGCGGATGAACTGGTTGATGCGAGTGAACCAGTTCCTGAGCTCTGGATCCTGGTCGGCGTCCTTGTAGACCTGGTTGATGGACTCAATCAAGTCATCGAACGAGGTGTTGTTTGCAAAACGCTCAAGAAGAGTCTTCATGTTGGTCAGCCATTTGTTCTCCGAGAGGAAGCCTAAATACGCACCTTGAGATCAGCTTCAGCAGTAGTTAGGGTATCGTTCTGATGCGCACCTTGAACAGAACCCTTGCCCTGCTGGCCAAGGTTCTTACCATGGCCGGAGTACTGCTCGGCGAGGTTGAGTAGGGTCTCGATGGCACGCTGGTAGTCCTGGTGGCCCTGAATCTCGACTACCATCTTCTTAAGACGCCAGATGGTCTGCTCGCGGCGCTCCTCAGGCATCTTGCCCTTGAGGTAGTTGTTCATCTGGTCGCGGCGGGCGCGGGCCATGTTCTTATCCTCCTCAGAAGTGTTCGCGTCAACCTTCTGCTTGGCAGCGTCGAGAGCACCACGGGCGTCGACGCCAGTGCTCTGGCCGGTCTGACCCTCGTGGGCGCCAAGTTGGGCGGTGTGCTGAGGGTCGCGCGAGCCATCAGGGTTAGCAGCCTGGTTGATGTCTTTGGCATGCTCCTTCAAGTCACCCTTGGCCTCGTCCTTGTTCTTGTTGCCGAAAGGCAGACTGCTCTTAGCTTGATTGCGAAGGTTCTCGCGGTTCAGGTCGGAGGTGTCGTGCCAAGTGTTGTCCTCAGCAGGCTCATCTAGCTTGTTGAGACGGTCTTCTGAGGGCTTGACCTTGTTGGCGGTGTTCTGGGCGGCATCGCCAGCCATGTCACGGAGCAGAACAGTGGCATCTGAAAGCAACTTCCTGAACTGGCCGTTGGAAATGAGGAGGGTACCGAGAGTCCGTAGACCATCAAGCGCCTCGTTTCCGTGCTGCTTCGCTGTGTCCTTATCAACAGGGGCATTGGGGAGGGCGGCGCTGTTGCCACCGAGGTGCTCTGCCTGCCAGATGAAGTCCTGGAGGAGGTTGCCCTCGTTCTTGGTGAGTAGTAGGATCTTGGCCTGCTCGATGACCTTCTTGAGGTCGGTCACCAGATGCTGACCCTCGCTCGACAGCTTCTTGGATGGTGAGTTGAGCGACCTGTGGGCCAGCGCGGAGTTGAGCGCGACATCGATTTGCTGGTTGGAGGGGACCTTTCCGTTAGAGAAGGCTAGTTGTGGTCAGCGCTTGTTTACATTTGCGTGTGCGACGCGAAGGGCATCGACGCGCCATTGCACGTGTTCACATACCCTCGAAGATGCCGTACAGCTGTAGCTTGTTGTTGACATCCTTCTCCTTCTGCTTCAAGTCCACCGGACCTGCAGTCTGTTAGCAATGTTTGGGGGCAAAGCGGGGTAGCTAGACATACGATTTACGGAACTCATGGTGTAGGACTGCTTCTGTGGGTATCAAGGTGGGGTATCAAAATGCAGACGCAGAGCTGAAAACAATGGAGGTAGGGTGGATGGGTATTTCGAGGGGATGGGTATCAAAGTGGTTTGTGTGGGAGGGAGGCGGGTGAGGGCAGAAAGCAGCTTTGTATTTGGGCTGGCTGGGTAACACGCGCGATTGCAGCAACTACGTCACTGCGTCGTAGCTTGCCGCTTGCGAAGAGCCTGGACTTGGAACAGCGACCGACCACGACCAACTTGCCTGACCCCGCGACTACCGGCCACCATTTTCCCGCTGCCAGCGATCGAATTCCGCGGACACGCTCACAGAACGCGGCAGCCCAGTTCCCTGGCGATGTGCCGTCCAATGCCACAACTGTCCACGTTATGCCTGGGGCACGAGGCCTGCCACGCCCAAACGAGGTCGCCCTGGCCTGTATGACGGAGCCTCTAGGTATGTTTGGGGGTTCGATCGGCGCCAGGTTTCCCAAAGGATGCCAAAACATGTGTCCCGCTTGCGTCATGGGTAATTCGACAGCGCCACAGGCAATCTCGATTCCGTCTGATGCGAAGTGTGGCGCCGCCCAGCCTAGCAAACTCTTCCCTGCATGTATTTGACAACCCCGTTTCCAGCGGACTTCCTGCTTGCACACGCCTTCTCACCCCCTCGCGGAGTCCGTGATGCTGTCCTTTCCTGTCGCTCTGTCTAGTCCGTTGCGCCACACCTGGGATACCAAGCTTTCCTTGGCGACACGCTAGACGGCTAGCGCGAGTACCGCCGGCCACACCGCTCGCACGATGACGACGTCCATCTTCGAGTTCACGATGCAATCTCGTGGGGCGCCTGCTCATTCGCCGCCCGTCTACTTCAATGGGTCCTGCTGGCGCGTCGCCCTCACGTTCCCAGGTTCGTGCGCGCCACACACGCATCAAACGGCTCCGACCCCAGCACGTGAAGTGCGGAAACCGGGAAATTCCAGACAAGGCCAATCCTGGAAGCGCTCTCCCTTCAGATCTGCCCGCCCTGACCGATCTTGTACAGAACTGGTCGACGTGCCTGCGTGCTAGGGCGTAGATCAGCCGATCCACTAAGCCTGTCAGGCGCTACTTGTGCCTCAACCTACAAAACGCTCTTACTAAAAGTTTGAGATACCATTTTGCTCCTGTCCCTGTACTCGGAACGTTCCGATTAATCATGTACAAAGTTGTCAAATGCACGAACCATCGGAGGGTTAGGACAAAAGTCAACGATGTGTCCGACCACACTATAGCCGCACCGGCTATCCCTACTAGCGTCGTAGTGTCGTCTCAACGTCAAAGAACTTGCCCCTAAAGTCTATGCCTTGCATGGCCGCATTGCTTAAGCTCGGGAAGGTTTGTGTCGTTAGGGTTCTCAGCGTGTACTTGATGCGAACATGCTGTCGTACAAGTATGTCGGAAGTGTCAAGCAGGCGGATCATACTTGGGTTACAGCCCAGAAGAAGGCGAGGCGACCGTGGACAGAAGAGGGGAGTACCTTGATTACTGCAGACGCCGACCAGCCATTATCTACACAATATAGCAGTTTCTACAAAGCCCTGAAGTTGACTAGGAGCTATCCAGCGATGTAGCAGCCACCCATGGACTCGGGCGCCACAATTCGTCTCCTTCTCTTCTCGACCACTCGTCGACATGCATACCTCAAACAACCACTATGAATCTTCCATGAGGCTCTCGATTATCTTGTCCACCTCGTCGATAAGCGCACCGATCGCGTTCTTCCCGTTCTCGATCTTCGCTTTAACAACTGTAATCGATTGGTAGTCGATATGGAAGAAGATGCGGAGATACGCCGGACCGCTGGCTGCGGTACCGTTGACTGCGGTGGTGTTCAAGTTGCGGCTCATGATATACACATCGGCTGTTCCCGCCTTGGAGACATCCTTGGACTGTTTGCTGACAATGATGGAGGCGATATTTTCTGATAGATCTCTTAGCTTTGTTACTTACATGGGTGGAAGAAATAGCCAGTGGTGGGATTGCGCGTGCAACACAATCGACTTCAAGTATTGACAGCAATACCCTAGAGGAAAGATCGCTCCGAAAAGACTCAAAGACAGTTGTACTTACGAGCCAGCAATAAAACGTTCTTGGCTTCATTAGTGGCGTTCAAGAGACTGCTGGTGTCTCGAAAAGGTTGTAGCAGCTCTAGAATTCGGTACTCGAGGGTATGGTCAGAGACTGGGACGTTGAAGGCCTTGACGGAACTTTGCACTGGGCTATTGAAGGCGGCATCCTGGGGCCGCGGAGGCAGGGAGGAATAGTACTGATGAGGATATGGTGGCGTGTAGGAACTATGTGAGCCCGACATCATGTATATCGACATCGTGGAGTAGAGATTATGCGCGGGGTATTGAGAGTCTGGGTACGGTCAACCCTATATTTATATACCCTCGGAACTCTGCGTTACCGCCAAGGCGAGCTAAGAAGCTCGTGATGGAGTTGGGGCAGTATTTGACCCTTCATTGCTGTCGCAACCTTTGCGGCCGATAATTCACTCCAATCTCTCTTCGCCAAGATGACCACAACATTGACGCCATTGATACCATATCTGCATTCGGTATCACTCATTTGATTATCACACTGGCAGTAATCAAGCGCTTGGTAAGCTATTTGATTAGTTCTCGCGTGTTTGGTTGGAACCCGGTATACAAAACGGCCGACGAGAGTGGCATTCTGCTGTCTACTCTACCACCTTCTAGATACTGTACATCTGTTCATACACCCGGAGAAACTACCTTGGGCCATCTCCGCGCAGTAAATAGCTACCATTCCCCTCGTCATCACTAAGTGGCATCAACTCAGCTTTTCTGACGACTCTGAACAGAAACCCCGGATGAAAGACCGCCATGATAACCACCACCGCGAACATGAGCGCCGCATCGAAGACATACAAGTACGCCTCTGTCTGATACACCTTACTCTCTGGTCCTTCGATGAACTCCGCCAGTCGGAAAATGCTCCGCACAACGACAAGCACACTGACACTGTACAAAGCCCACATGTAGCGGCGCCACTTGACATGTGTTCGTCGTGACGTGCTGGTAGGCTCGTTGTTCAGCCTTCGATGAAACACCACCGCCATTAGGATGAAGAAGGCGAAAGCGACCAATTGCGTACCCAGTCCTGCGATGACGACAGTCGTTCCAGTCTTCACTCCGTCTGGGTCGCCGGAAGCTTGCATCGCCGACCCCATGATCTGACATACGAAAGATCCGATATCGATGATGACGTATATCTTCGTCGTCCAGCGCGGGTTCATTACAGCGTGGTGCGTAGCATCGAGAGAGCGGATAAGGCGACCGAGCGTCATGTAGATGGTGGCTGCGAGAAGCGGTGCGGCCGCGAGGATAAGCATGAGTTGAAGGAGATAAGGGCTGCCTTGTCGGATGTTCTGTGAGGACCAGGCGCGACCGTAGTAGCCTGCGGCTTCGCCTGTGGAACAAATTATCAGCGATGTGCTTTGCGTAGAGGGAGTTAAGGACGAAGGTAACTGACCTACGCAGCCCAGAACGAATGGAATGAAGAACCAACTTCGTAATGGAATGAGCATGATGAGATGTGTCAGCCCGCCGATCGCGAATAGTATGAGAAATGTGTAGCCGGCGCCTGCTGAGGGCGTATAAGGGTAAAGATCGAAGTCGGCTTCGCCTCTAGGAACGATATCGTGAGACGCCATCTGTGGATGTTGGGTCGATAACAGCCAGGGAAGATTTGGGGTAAGCAAGAAACAAAAGATTAAAGACAGAATGTGTACGAAGATGTAGGAGATGATGGAGCGAATGAAGATACCTTTCAAGACACGACTACGCGCCGTTACTATATACATATCCTGACTCGGCACATTTTTCGCATTCAACTCTTTCGTTCTCTTATCTCTCTCAAGCATTACCACAAGAGGCGCAGCGCCGCGCGGCATCTTTTGACACTGTGCTTGGTCGTTTCGTGCTGGTCTGTGGGTCGCGTAACGAAAGAGAATACGCGCCAATACGCCTCGCGACACGCGAACACCCTACCACACCCATTCCGTCCGCTCCATTCTGGTAATAGTAATCTGGATGTTCGAGCACCTCAACTTTTCTTCCCGAGCATCGTCAGACTCAATGACCAACATGGTTAATGGAGTTTTGGGCAATACCTAGGTATGTCAAAATGAGGCTGAACACGAAAACGGAGTCGACGTCGATATCTTCGCGGGATCTGACGCTGGCCTACGAACGTTGTTGATGTCAAATTTCCTTTAGAGTGGTACTATCGCATACACAGAAACAACGTTGATACAGTTCCGAAAGCAACGGTGACCGAATGCGCCTAGAAGATGGCGATAACTCCGGGTGGACTTCCAATACCACCTCTGACGTGCAACGGTGCACTTGTCATGAAAAAGGTGTACCGGCCCATCTCCTTGCACCTCTCACTGAGCTTTTCAAGATCCCACATCTCGCCGATAGCGGTACCCCAATGAACGAGCAGCCACTCGTGTAGGCACCATCCGTCGGTGAACTTTGGTGGCCATGCTTCAAAAGCGACGGTATCACCAGCGATCGCCGCGAGGTGACGGTCGTAAAGCCAACGTACCGTCTTCTCGTTCGCTTGAAGACCAATTGCGACACTATTGTCGCGAGTACCGCTCTTGCGCTCCGCTTCGTTCGCGTTACTAGAATGATCAGACATGTCCCTCAACGTGGTAGGATAACGTACTTATGCCATCTTACGTATCCGCTACGAATCATCATAATGTCTCCCTGCTTCAAAGTGGTACCTTGCCACTTCAACGTCTCTTCAATCTCCTCGATGGGGATTTCGTGTCTCGATACCGCACTTGGTGCCTTCTTCCCGTTCTTCTCTTCATACCAACTAAGCCAGTCGCAAAGCACACCTCTTCCAACAATGCCACCTCTTTCGCACCACTTGTGCGTTCCGTTCGTGACGCTGTTCGCTGCCTCTTTATGCGAGAGACCGTTGTAATACATGCCGCTTGCTTGATGCGCGAAATGCTTCAAGCTATCCCACTGAGATCCAGCTTGAGTGTTGATGTGAAGTTCGTCATCGTTAGCACAGAACTCGGAGAAGTCCGCAAAATCGATTTGCTTTTGCTCGAGTTCTTTTCTGTTGAACCCTGGAAATTGCACGTTGTGTAGTTCCCAGTCAAGCTGGATGTGCTCGCCGGTAGTGATCTCTTTGGAGGCCGCTTTCACGACATCCGAGGTGAGAAGGTTGATAGCTGTCGCCTGTTAGATATACGATTGCTGTATGGGGTACAATTTGCTTTACTTCCGACTTCATCCTTTTGCCCGTCTTTGTCAAAGAACCCCCATATGCTGCCCTGTGGCATGCCCTCGACCTTCGGAAGGTCGTCAAACGCCGGGAATTTGTACTCTTGTTTCGCCATAGTCAATGTATCAATACTTTTGCTATCGTAGGTTATAAGATGTTACTCTACAAGACCCCAAAGTCACTTTGGAGAAGCTTGATATATGGGGCATTGTACACCGAGGTCAGTCCGGACCCCGCATCCAACGCTGATCCGCACCATGTGGACGCTTTCTTTGCTGTGGCTTCAATGACGTTGCAAATCATCATTTAGTGCGTCGCGTGAGTGTGCTAGTCATGAGCCGAAGCAGGGTGGTTGGTAGCCGGACCCGCTTCCGAAAGGTGGAGATAATGCTGATTATGGCACGCTTAGGTCATCCCTCCGTCCGGCATCCGAATAAAAGTCCACGCGCGACGGCACCATCGCTTTGCTACGAAGACACCTTTCCAGCGACTACCCAAACTCGCTCAACTATCCTCTATATAACCATCTATTTCATCTTTTCGGTCGCTGTGGATAAGCCTGCGCACGCGGCCCAGCATATAGCTCACCTTCTTTGGGGTTTTCCACGGCCTCGTCGGAGAAGGAGCAATGCCCCGCTCCATTTGATTGTACTTCAACAACACCCCACATTAACTTCTTAACGGCAATTTCATCACCTCTTTCCTTGTCAGCGGTTGACAAGTGACAAGCTGCGCTCATGGCTGCACTACAACTGCCAACCAGATTGGTTCCTGGTCGCAAAGGAACGAATCCCACTCCGACGCCGACAATGAGAACGAGACTCGCAACGATGATCACAGATATCATGGCGATGGGAGAATAGCCGCATGTATATCGTACATCTGATGGCACACTATCACCGATCCCATAGAACTAATGTCATCGTCAGCTATCACACTAAGTTCAGAACATGTCCAGGTAAAGAGCCTACCTCTATGGCGACAAAGAAGATGCTTTGTGATATCATCCAATGTAGCAATCCACTGATTGCCATAAGTGGTATTGCAAACCGATAAGGTAGCGACAAGAAGTAGGTTGATCTTTGCAACCCTCTCGGGGCGCTCGAAACCCTTAAACCCTTTCGAACGTATGAATACGATGACCATTCTTTTCCTAGCAGCATACACGTCAACAGACTGTTGCATGAGAAATAGATGATCGAAAGCACAACCTGTGGCACGTTGGCTATGAGAGTGTTGCCTATTATGGAGTCGACATTGTGTTCACGTGGATACTCGATTAGTGTCCGAGCGTCGATGGCACCAAAACCCAACGCAGCGAGATTGCGAAGGGAGTTACTTTTACCAGATCGGAGATGACGCAACCCGTAGGAAAGAAATCCTCCTACGGTTGCTATCGAGATCAGAAGCCTGGGGGATGTTAACGAATCTTTGCGGATGGTAGAACGACGCGTGCGCACTTACACAGCGAAAGTGCTAATGCGACGGCTTAGACTTGTAGTATCTTTCCATCTATAGATTCGAAGCTTCCATCTCTTCGGTCCGGCAATGAAATTGTTTTTTGCACTCTCGATGTCCTTGGAGGAAGCGAGGCACATATTCCGAGTCCATGGATCCGGCTGTTTCAGGAATGAGAGCACAGCGTCACCCATCGTCATGAGTGGCTGCTCTTTAATGCGAAGAGCCAAATAGAAGATCGATATGGCCTTGATAAGATTCAGCCCTATCACCAGCGACGCGATGGGAATGCTCCAGAGAACTCGACACTTTGAGTCTTTCCTTTCACGCAAACAGTACTGTATGGGGCCTCTCATGTGGGAGAACCCAGACACACTCACGAGGTAGCCAATATCACCTGTTATGGTCCAGTTCCGTGCAGAGCCTCTGATGACGTCTACTACTGCGTCGCATGACTTGTCCACATCCGTATGGCCCGAACAAATCCACTCGAAAGTATCCTGTGGAAAATATTCCCAAGCACTTGTGAGCGAGTGAGTCCAGAAAACCCCCGAGTTTTCGTTATTCTTGTAGTCGTCGTCTACCCCTTCAGTTTGATTTGCCCATACAATGTCATCAGACTTAGCCACTAAAAGTAGATCGCCTCTATGCGTTTGCAGGGTTGTTGCGTATGCGTCAATGCAATCCAAGTTATCGAGCCTCTCGAACCGGCTTTCTTGGATCCTTTGGTGTATCTCCCTGGTGAAGGCGAAGTCGGAGCCATTGATAGGACTCACACAGCCCAGACATTCAGCGCTGTCAACAAAGTTTTGTCTGACCCCGTAAACTTCGTAACTGTATGCTGCAAGAGACAGATACACGACCGAGTTGTAACTTCACATGTTAGTGTACTATAGGTTCTGGCTTCGACTCAATACTTACAAGAGATGTAGAGGTAGCGACGAGAGCGCTAGGGCTGACCAAAGAAGTACGCGCTTCTTGCTGATGCGACGTAGATTTCGAACGCTTAGGACACCTACATCCATCCATTGGCCTCGAGAGTGGGCGACGTTGATATCCATTCTGGTTGGAGAAGATAGACACTGCATAGCGTAATTCGATGAAGACAACAGAATTGTACTCAACAAGTTGATGATGACATGAAGGACTGCGTTGATCTTACGCGCACGATCACAGTCCCCTCTGAATAATACACCGCTATCAGTATTGGCAGCCCATGCTATAGTGGCGATCAGATTTATGAGAAAGACTATGGAGGCTGCGATCGCGCAGTTGAGGGCGCCGAATCTCCAACCTTTGGTGAATGTATCTCTGGACTTTTTCAAAGGTTCGGAGTGCGGCATCTGCATGTGGGTAAGGTGTTGTAGTTCCGATGCTGTGATATCGTCATCTACCGGATGGCGTTTGCGATGCTTGTACTTTGTAGAGAAGAAGCCGAACATGATGATGAACTCCACGGATTGTATGAGCGTTCTGAAAGATCTCATAGCAGCCATCTATACATATATTTGTACTGGTGTTTGTCCGCCCTGCCAAGACCCACGCCTCGTAAGCAAAATGGGGGCGGCGGAGGATTGTTCATCATTGGTGCTCCCTGGTACCGGTCAGTGTGGTCTCACTCAGCTCATCAGTCCACGTGAAGCCGCCCGGTTTATCGTTACCAGACCTTCTAGTGGTGCCGTCCGCCTAGATCCTGCCACGGCTTTACCGGCTTTAAAAGTTACGCCCAGTCGCAACACAGGTTACGTGTCAGAAGGCGGCTTCGACTCAGATGCACCCTATTTAAGGGAAAAACCGAACACCCTAGAGCCTACATTAGGATAAAAACTTGCGAAGTTAGTAGCCTAACGGCGACGTAGGCTCCTAGGTGTTTAGTTTTTCCCTTGTATAGGGTGGATGCGCTTTTGAAATCAACCAGTCACCTAGTTACACGCTTGCGTTGTT